ATATATTCTTTATTAACAATAAATTCGATAGCTCTGTGCTTTGAGCTGAACTTTATTCATGTCTATGCAAAATCGGAAGTCTTATGCAACTGCAAATTGAATTATTTACACAGACAACCATTACCATGTAACTCTATCTTATTTTTACTGTACAGTAGATACTAAAAATGTTTCACAGGAACAAAATATTTAGTGATAGTTAATAGGCCTTATTTAGTTCGCCATTTATAATTGCTCCACAGTATCTTGACTAATAGTCACCACAGTTGTTGTTGTTGTTGCTGCAGTAGTGGTAGTAGTCGTCACCGCCGCCGCCGTCACTACATCATCACATGGCGTCTCTGGCGGCAACTCATTTGTGCGATTGAGCAAATAATCCAGATCGTGTGTTATGCGATCCAACATACCAGTCATAGAATTTTCGTCTTCGGGTGAAGAAGAATTGTCAGCAGTTGAGGAATTTCCACTGCTAATCTGGGTTGAATCATTCACCGCACTTGTAGCGACGTTGCTGTTGTTTGTCGCCACAGTATTGCTGGAATTTGTTATAATAGACGTCGGTGGCGTCGCCATCATCGTCGTCGCGAGCCGATGATGTGCTGTTGCGGCTGATCCACCGGAAACGGCAACCATTGTGGGCAGCAGTGGATCGAAGGTGTGTGTTGTGGGCTCCATAATGGTGACACGCTTTTGCGCCTTTGGTGTTTGCGTTGTGGCCGTTGTGGTGCTAATGATGCTGGTGAGTGTGGTCGGTGGCACCTGTGATGGTTGTGGCTGAATTGGTGGTGGCGGTGGCGTAGGTGATGCTGTTAATTCACTGCTACTTTTTACGTAATTCATTGTAGTCTGCAACGGCAAGCCGCTACTTATCGACACAATCGCTGTTGGCAGCATGGCAGTGCCCATATAGGCACCGTGGTGTTGCGCAACATGTTGCTGAGCCGATACAGGTAGCTGCTGGTGTTGCTGCAGTGGTGCTGGTGTGTGATGTCGCGGGAATGTATGATGCTGTAGCTGATGATATGACATTCCCGTCGGCACGGCTGTGCTGCAAATGCCAATGATGGTGTCTGGTAGGCGAAAGATAAAATAAAATATTCAAAAATTTAGAAAAAAACCAATCTAAAACGGTTTTAAAGGAACTTTTAGTTAACTGTATACTAATTTTGTATTTATAAAACTAGTTATATGCGTACATACAGTTATGTGGAAAATAATAGGGACACGACATTTTTTACAAGTTTTGGCTACTTTTATTTTGTTAGTTTAATGTTTATTATTTTTTTTTTAAATACAGCTCATTTTGTAACAAAAATTATATAAGTTCAAATTTAAAATTTTTTAGAAAACTTAGAAAAATTAACAAAAGTTTACAACAACATTTTTTTTATTAAGAATTATTCGACAAATTTTTAGGCCGGCCATTAAATTCTAGCACAATAAATTGCAAGTTTCAAGTGGCTAAGAATGTTATTATTTTCTTCCATACAAAAGAATAAAATTGTCGAGCATACTTTGTATGGAAGAAAATGCGTTACATCGTCAGCAAAAAAAGCCACTTGAAACTTGCACTTGGGCTATATGGTTGTTAGATAATGAGCTGTATTTTTATAAAGAAAAAATAAACATTAAGCAAACAAAAGAAAAATTCCCAAAACTGGACAAAATGTCGCGTCCTATTTATTTTTCACATGACTATTAGGGTGCCCATCGAAAATGCTTTTTTTTTTTGCAAATTTGAAGATCCTACCCCCTAATTTTATTCGATTTTATGAGAAATTTCATTGCCTATTTTTATAAATTTTTTAAAGGTCATTTAGAGGTCGCGACCAGTCGATTTGAGTCAGAAAATACAATTTTGTAGATTTATGAGTTTTTGAATGACTATTTTTGACTCGATTTCAAAGATCGAATGTGATCTGAAAAGAGGATTTATAGGCCTTTAAAATGGTATATAAAAATCTATTGTCGAACTTGGCTTGTTGGGATATTTTATCGGGTAAAGTAAAAAACCCATATTTCTCTTAATTTTTTCAGTTTTGACCATCGATAATTTCCACAATTTCAAAATATGTGGGACTATCTAAAATTAAATCTATTTTTAAATAAACTGATAGCTCATTTGGTCAAAATTAAAAAAAACTTAAGAGTAATAAGGGTTTTTTTTTTTTATTTTACCCAATAAAAAATCCCAACAAGTCAAGTCCGACAATAGATTATTATATACCATTTTAAAGGCCTATATGTCCTCTTCTGAGATCATATTAGATCTTTGAAATCGATTCAAAAGTAGTCATTCAAAAACTCATAAAACTACAAAATCGTATTTTATGACCTAAATAGACAGTAGAGTGGTCCAAAAAAATTAAGTTGGAATTTTAATGCCGGCACCCCCTAGGATTGTTCTATATCGAAAAAATATACCCCTATTTTTTTTATTATGAAATCAAAAAATATTTAGGGGGTGCTCAAAGCACTCAAAGTTTTCCATGTATTTTATATGGAGAAAAAACCATTTTTCGTAGAAATGGTATAAAACTCTTAAAAATCAATATTTTTCAATCGGAAAACTGTGGTTCTCTTCAGGAGACTTCCAGTATTAATATCCAATTGTTTATTTAACTATTTTTTATGATTAAAGATTGTTCCATTGCATTTTCTAGGGGTTTTGGAGGACCTATCAAATATAGTTACTATGAAACAATGGTTAAAGAGGCAATTGCGTATTATTACTGGGAATCTCCTGAAGATAAGAAAAGTTCCGATCGAAAACTGTTGATTTTCAAGAATTCTACACTATTTCTACGAAAAGTTGTTTTTCCGCCATATAAAATACATGAAAAACTTTGAGCGCTTTGAGCACTCCCTATTTTTTTTTTTCAAAATAAAAAAATAGGGGTATATTTTTTTTCCATATAGAACCATCCTAGGGGGTGGCGGCATTAAAAATCCGACCTTATTTTTTTTACATACATTTTTGGACCACTTTAATAGACAGGTTAGGAAGGGTCTTGAAATTTCAAAAAAAAAAGCATTTTCGATGGGCACCCTAATGCCTATACATATAATTCTGATCATACATACAGTATTGGCCATATCTATAGTACTCCTGTTTCAAAGTGATATTGTTTGCACTTCTGTTTAATTACATGGTGCTACAAAAAAAAAACAAATATGAAATACACCCGAAACAAAACCTACTGTAGGTTGTAGGTATGATTGTCCGATAATTAAAATCGTTCGATTATTAAAATCGGATGGAAAATAGTCGAGCTATTATAGATAAGAGCATGAAGTACGAAAATAACGGGTGTTTTGGAGTTCAGGAACTATACGGGACCTATTTTCATGTTGTACTCAACCATACCTACAACCTACACTAGGTGTTGTTTTGGGTGTATTTCATGACTTTCTTTTGTAGCGCCGTGTTATTAATTTTTAAGATTTTTTAATTAAAATACAGTTCATTCTCGGACAAAACCCATATAAACAAATGCAACAAATTTTCACCTAAATTTCAAACGGATAAACACAATTTATTTTTATATGGAAAAAAACCCGCAACACCTTCAGCAAAAAAAAATTCTAAAAAATCAACGGTGATTTATAGCCACTTGAAACTTGCACACTGTTAGACTAAAATTGAATGGGTACTCAAAAAAATTCTAACACTTTAGAGAAAAAAAGTTTGAAATTTAGGTGAAAACTTGTTGCATTTTTTTGTAGTCTTTTACAAAGTTTAGAACTTGGTTTATATTGGTTTTGTCAGAGAATAAACTGTATTTTAATTGAAAATTCATAAAATTAAGTAAATAAACATGAGTGAGAAACAATATCACTTTGAAATGGGGGTGCTATTGCATTGGCCAATACTGTACGTACTATTATGACACCCAACAAAATATTTTGGCAGTGCAGCTCATGAATAACTAACATATCGTCACTAGACACGAATTCAGGCGCGAGCTCTAAAGTTAACAGCGAAAAAAGACGCATAAAACATAAACTTCAGCGAAGAAAGGCTCTTAACATAGTTGACGGCGAAGAAAGACGCGTTAAAATATTACACGGCGAAGAAAGATGCGTAAACTTATTTTCGCGGCCAACTACGTTCGCGGATGTAACAGTATCTAAATTTCCCAAAGACTTTTCGGGGAATGATGCTGAAGTTACAGTCTTTGGCTAGGTATAAATCTATGTTTACGCGTCTTTCATCGCCGTCAACTAGGTTACGCGATTTTCTGCGCTGCGTCTTTTTTTTGTAAAATTGTTTCTACGCGTCATTTTCGCCGTCAAAACACTAGCGCGGTTTTATTCGTGTCTAGTGACGATAAATATCTTGTTAGGCGTCACAAAATGGAGCGAACTCTATGTAGCCCAGTAAAATTAGACTAAAAAAAAATTTGTTACAGCGATTTTTTGATGCCGTTTACTTCTATTTGACACTTAGATCATGAATCCACAGTCCTGGCCCTAAATTTCATTTGGCAACATTCCGCCATCTCGGATAATTTTTTTTTTTTTGGTTTTTTGCTTATTTTGCATTTTTTGTAAAAAATGGCTAAATAGAAATATGTAGAGAATTTAATTACCTACATTTGTTATATAGAAATAAATAATAAAAATATAATTTTTTATTGTAAAATAGAATTTTTTATTTCAAGAAATTAGCAAAAACTGTGAAAAATTTTTACATTTTCACTGTTTTTATCATTTTATGTTGAGTTTGAATGAGTTTTACGGCGCATTCCGTACATCGCTATGTTTATCGCGTTCCCGGCCATGATATAAGCGTCGTATAAAACAAATGTAGGTACAAAAGTTGTGGAGAATGAAATTCTCTACAACTTTGGAATTTCAATATGCTATGTATTTTCAATAGAAACTGTCAAGAAAAAAAAAAAAAATAGCAAACACCGTGACAATGTATAATATTCCGCAGTTTTTGCTAATTTCTTAAAATAAAAAATTCTATTTTTAAAAAGCCTTCTACATAACAAATGTGGGTAATTAAATTCTCTACATATTTGAGTTTCATCATTTTTACGAAACGTGCAAAATAAGCTTGCGAATCCCAAAAAACCAAAAAAAAAACTTAAATCCAAGATGGCGGAATGTTGCCAAATGAAATTTAGAGGCAAGACTGTGGATCCATGATCTAGTGCCAAACAGAAGTGAATTGCATCAAAAAAATCCCTGTTTCAAATATTTTCAGATTTCCTACCAAATTTATCTAATTTTACTGGGCTAATGGTTCTCCAGGGGAAAGAACCATTTGTTTCAATGATGCATGCACATCTTCGATTGACTTCAATTTTGTCTATAGGTCCCTTACATAAAAGCGAAACGTACATAAGTATTCGAGAAGCTGGCTTTTTCTGTAGAAATCGGTCAAAGTTGGAATTCTTATACTGCTTCAATGTGCTCTATAACCGATTCTAGTAATCATACATATCTCTACTTACCGCTGTTTTCAAGCTAGAAAAATCATCTAAATATTTTTATGCTCCAGAAGTTCAGGATTGTCGTAAAACTAGCTGAGCTATATGCATATCAACAATACCATTTTTGACGTTGGTTTATGTCAGTTAAATCTATAGATTTAGATAATTAGTCATTCCATTGTAATTCCTGTTTTATGCTGCAACTTAATTAAATGCTGGCATTTAATTTTGTTATTGTTATCATTGGTATGCCTAGTAGAAATTCTGTATAACAAAAGTTACTCTGGCATTTTCTCCTTTTCTCTTAACTAGAAAAATTTGAGTTTGCATTGTTTAGAAAACTAAATAGTAAAATATAAATCACCACAACGGTTTGTGATTTGTAAGTGCTATATAAAAAATTGTTTCATTAGCTCTTAAATCAGTTTTCACAGTGGTAAATGAACCCACATTCGCCATTGTGAAAATTGACTCCCAAATGTGAGTTACGTAACTCCTCTCCACTGTAAAAATGGGCATTTTCGAAATTCCTAAGACAAGCAATATAATTTTTGAGCGTTATGTAAGTGATCATATATTTGATCATATATAAAACCGTTATCTTGAAAACTACTTAGAACTGAACC